TTGTAACTGGGACTATTCCCTATGGCCAATATAAGCTACCAAAAAGTGAGGTATACTCGAACACTCCACCAGAGTTGACAGTGAAATGCTTGAAGTTTTCAATTTTTAAGGCTGGAAGTGGGGAGCATGGGACTAAAACTGCATCAATGCCAAGTGCTTACCATCTACCATCCATTTTGAATTAATTCATGATTCTGTTGAAGAGAACGTATTCCATAGCCATTCTTGACTTTGGTCTTGATTGCTAGTAAGAATCAGCTAGTCTTTTGTTACCAGTAATGTTAAGCCAAAGTTTCCATAGATAGAAATATAAGAAATTGGAGCCAACGATGGAGGTATTGAGTGAATTGTTGTCCAAATTTTCTTCATAATTAGCCCAGAGAGTGTAATAAACAAGAGGGGTCATATAGTGAGAGACCATGCTCAACATAATTTCACTAGCTTCTTTAACTTCAGCTGCTGAGAATTCAATTGGCACAAGCTCATAACCTTGCTCCTCAAGTGCTTGTTTAGCCTCATGAATGGCTCTTTTAATTGATGCCATAGCTGGAGTTGTTGGGAGAGAATCACAATATCCGATCTTAATTTTCCCACTAAGTCCTCTTTAATATAGTGACTCATTCCATGGTGTAGATAGCTGAGTAAGATCAATTCTATGCATCAAGGGGTTAAAGAAGAACTTTGTTCCTATCACAACATCTTGAACTGTCTTACCGAAAGCAGAAGGGCATCCTCTCATTGGAATTGAAGGTAACATTGGAAGACCCATTTCAACACCTATTAAGCTGGTTCTCTAGTTAGTTGGCTTTAAGCTTGCAATACCACAAAATAGAGGTGGAACTCTTCCACTTCCAGCAAGATCTGTTCCAAAGGCGAAAGGAACTGCTCTTGCTGCTACTAAACCTGCATCACCACCTGAAGATCCTCCACATGTTCTTGTCTTGTCATATGGATTCAAACTTGAACCCCAAATTCTGTTCTCTGTGTGATATGAATAGGCAAGCTGTTTTTAAAATTAAAACGATATTAATTAATACCTATGGTTGATTTGCCTTTGTTAAAACAATACCTCCTTTCTATTTAAGAAATTAAATAAACATTCCATCTTCAGTTTCTACATTGCCTGCTTTGTGTTCGCATCCACCTGAACAAGAGGTGCCTTTAATTTAAAACTATTGGGTTTATAATCGTCTAAAATAATTTACAATATCTTAGACACTAATAGGAATTCCATGTAATGGTGGAAGCAGATCAACAACTTCATTTCTCAAGGCCTCTTTTCTCTCTTAGTCTTTTTCATCAGCCTCTTAAAAAGCTTCATCTATTAGCTCTTCAGTTGTTAAGTTATAATCTCTTCCGTATTTGTAAGTCCTTGCCCCGAAAACATGAACTAAATCAACAGATGTGAAAGTTCCTTATTTGAGATGTTCGCGTAACCCTGTGACGTCAAGAGATAGTATTAATTCTTCATTTTCTATCTTTTTGAATGTATATGTCTTGGTTAATTTCTTCTCTCTCAGTGCAAGCCCCTTTTTTCTGTTTTAATTGACTTTGACTTTCCAGTAGATATATCTTGCAGCGGTCAATGCAGCTATTGTGACGGCGGAGTATTTAGCAACGTCTGAAAGTTTATGTCCAGAGATATCTTTATTAAGTAGATTCTACATAAGTTAATATTATATTTGAGGATAAAAAATGCTATAAAAATAAATAGCACTTCTGTTTTATATATTATTTATGCATATTAGTGAATTCTATAATCTACAGGAATTTGGGGTTTTGGGGTTTTGGGGTTTTGGGGTTTTGG